AACTGGACGATGAGAAAAGAGGGCCAGCATTTCGCAACAGACTTGAAGGAGACGCCGCTATTTACAAGAAAATGTTAGACTTGAAGAACAAGGAAGAAAGCGTGACTGACTTCAAGAGGACGCTGCGGCCATTCTTTATGAAAGGCAGTGCGAATGTCTTCTTATACCGTTTTCAACAGTTCATGAATTTGCGCCGTGGTTCATCTGATCTTATGAAATGGATGTCAAGATTTCAAATTCAGTTGAAACGTCTGGAAGAAGCATGGGGTGATACTTTGACACCCATCAATGATCCAGCACATGATGAAGTTCGACAGTATACACAATCTTTATCAACAGAGGTGCGACAGGCAATGACGGCCGCCCAGATTCTAACAGCTGTCAATGAAAGGAGAAGACAGGCCCACATGGAAGGTGGCGCTGACGAAGAATCTTATCGGACTCCTTTTTGTATCGCATGCGAACCAAAGGATGTCGCTTACCAGCATAGTGGCACATCGTGGAATACATCTGGTCGGATTAGATGCCACGGTGGGGGACATTTTTATTGAGATGTTCTGCAATCCAAGAACAGCCGTGGATAATCCGCTCCTGAACAATACCTGCCATGGTGGCCGAAGGAGCTTCATTGTGATAGATGAAGGTGAACTTCACGGCTCCTTCGGTTTTTGGGCCGAAGACGAAGATGATGGAGCAGAAGGCTTTCTGGATGCGCATGAAGACATTTTCTACGTATATGATGAACAAAACGATTCATGGTTCCAGCGTCGTTTCCAAGGCCGAAGATCAAGAAAAGGCAAGGGAAAAGGGCGCGGCGGAAAGAGCCGCGGCAGAGGCCGTGGCGGTCGGAGATTCTTTAAATCTCGCCGAAAGAAGAAAGGCCATTACCAGGAGGACCACAGTCAGTCTGATGACTGGTCGTGGCAAAATGAAGAGGCCTGGTGGTGGCAAGATGGCTGGTCTGTCCAGCCAGAAGCAGCAGATTCATGGCAATCATGGGATCAGGAATCAGCACATGAGCATGCAGACAGTTACAAGTCCAGAAGTAAAGGCAAGAAAGGTAAGAAAGGTAAGAAGGGTAAAGATGGTAAAGACTTAAAGGCAGTTCTAATGTAGCTTCTTCGCAATCTGAGGCTCAAGCTGCGGTAGATGCCCCTTCGTTGCCCCCTTCTTTCTTTGCTATGCATCATGTGCGAAGCCCGACCGCCGTTGGGGAACCCGAAATGACAGGTGCAACTTTTGGAGGCCCAGTCACCGCTGGGGAACCAGCTGACGGAGGCCCGGTCAACGCTGGGGAACCAGATGTTGTTCCCGACGCTGATGCTGATCATAATGAGCCTGCATGATGACGCTGCACATCCCATGGATGTTGATGCTGATGGAGACCCTGCAGAAGGAGGCTCACCCAACCTTGGTTCCAAGGTTAGGTCAGGAGGATACGAGAGAGAGTGCAGACGTTGATACGGGTTCTGCTGTACGGGAAGTGTGTCGGCTGCTTGTCCTGAACCCGGCTAGTGATTCTGTTGATTTAAACTGGGGTTATCCCATTGCACCCTCACCGAGCAATGGTTGTAGTGGTCTAAATCAGTGGTACGCAGGCACCGCCGGTGCGCCCATGCAATCCAGGGTTTTTCCAGTTTAGGACCTTATGGTTTAGGCCCTAACCCCAGTATTGCTGATGGTTCAGCAAGTTATATCCCTCCGCCTCCACCGTTGCCAGCCCATCTGTCCAGGAACGGCGGTGGTGCAACGGTGCAACCCACAGTTAGGTGGTGGAGGCGTCCCTTCAACGTAGGAGGAAACGTCGGCCGCGAGGAAGACCTAGCAGCACCTCCGGAGTTGGGCCCTCTTCAGTTCGGACTTCTTCCAACTCGTGCTCGGAAGACGAGTATTGCCGTGACCAACTACGGGAAGTAAAAGAAGGTCTACACTGACCACCAGTGTGTATGATGGGTCTTCAAGCTGGTACGCCGGTACTGCGTGCGTGTTTTGCGGAAGCGCTTGAGATTGAGCGCTTCCAATCGGAGCAGCAGACCTCATCTGGAACAACAGTGCCAGAGGCGGTTCAAGAAGTGTTGTCTGGGACAACGTCTCAGGGTGCTCTAGTCGCGATCGCAGGCTGCAAGTAGCACTGGAGTTGTGTCCGACACTCATGGCGCGCGAGAAGAGGAAGAAGTGGCCACGCCAAGAGTGCGACAGCATTTCCCAATGAGGGAGTCACCAGGGGCTAACAGCGTAGCTTCTTCTGTTGATGATGACCCAACAAACTTCAATGATGCCTCTGCCGAGACGTCCTGAGTTTGATGAGCTTTAAATCCTTGAAAAGGGGCCTCAAAACCGAGGGCCTCCACGGTGAGCGGGCTCAGGAATGACTTAGTTGGACGCTTAGCAGTTCGGCTTGTTTCGCCATTCTTGGCAGGTCTCTGCCGTCAGACAGACAGCTAAGATTTGTGCTTTGGTTGTGGCGTCATCGACACTTACGAAAGGTTGTCAATTAGAGCGGTCAAACATCTTCACTCAAGAAAGTGCTTCACGGTGGATCCACATGTGCAAGGAAGCCTAAACGAGGGATATTTGCAAGCCTTTGCGCTATCCGAGGTCCCTGAATAACAGGGGCTCAAAGGATGGCAGTTAAGGGATCGAGAACTCCCTTGCACCACGACTAGGCAAACGTACGCATTGCGCCTGGAGGGCCAATGCAAGGGGGAGTGTTGATACTGCTGAGATCTTGCGTCTCTGAAGCCCATGAGAGGCTCAGATGCGAGGTGCAACAAGGACATTCCTTTCTGCCGTTATAAGGGGTTTTGGCATCCTGCTTGAGCCTCAGCCATGGACCTCCAAGCTGCGCCAGAACCGGTTTTGTTATCTCCAGAATCTGCTGGGCCTCCTCACGGTCCTATGTTGAACCCTGTCAGAAAGCTCCTGCACAGCAGCCGACAAGTCGCTCATGAATCCTAAGTCTTCGCTAAGGTGTCTCTGAACGACAACAGGACCTCGCCCGGAATGTCAAGCTGTGTCATTGACGTTAGGGGTTTCCTGCTGATGTTGCTTGCTCTGCTGCTGCAGCTTCTGTGGCGGGTTTCCCAAGCAGGGGGCTACTTGGACTCATAACCTGTTGCGGGTGGTTGCTCAGCAATACTGGTACTGAGACGAGGCACGAGCCCGTCGTCGGAGGACCCGAACACCACCTCCTGCAGCTGTCGTCTAGATGGCTGTACGATCGCTCATGCCCACAACCCATCCCAACCAAAGACACAAATCCACAATTTTCCATCCAACCAGCTTCTTGAGCCATTCCATGGCCATCGGTACACTTCTTGATTTGTGCACCACGTATGCAACACGCGTAACACGAGAACTCAATCAGCTGCTGCTTGGTCATCGGCTTAGGTCCCTGAATTTTAGTGTACCCAGGCAGCTCGCACCCTCCAGCAGCCATCATCAACCTTTTCAAGCACTTTTGACGGTTTCGCCAGGGACCCCCTTTGGGCCAGGC